TATGTGCTCATTAAGTAGCCAATGGTCACCTTGGTCCACTCTCCCTGCTCCTTGGATTATCTCTTAATTTGTAGCATAGTAAATTCCTGAGGATAGAAGTCATGGTTACTTCATTTTTTTGTCTTCCACCCAGCATTTCGACAAGTGCCTTACATATATATATGTGTAATATAAATACTAAATATATACATATATTTAGTATTTCTTAGACCAAAAAAAATGAAGCAATCATGTTTTTCATACTGCTTCCCACCATGCCATTGTTCTGACCAAGACCCGGCCATTTTCAGGACAACATGAATGGGGAGAACAGAGAGGATCTAGCCACTTAGCCATTCTGATTGGGTCAGTAATCTTAGCAAACTCTTTCAGAGAGAAATCTTTGAACTTTCTGCATAAACTTGAGGACTTGAATCACCCAGGGATTTTCCCCATCATTTCTTTGCTCCCTAGACACACAGGAAAATACCAGTTAACACTATAGATGGCCGCACAGAATGAGTCCCATAGTTATTGACACCGAAAGATAATCATGCAGGTGTTTTTGTTTTTTTGTTTTCTCTTCAAAGGAGGCTGTGGTACAATATGAACAGTATGAGCAAGAAATGCAGCACCTCCAGGAGCTCATAGAAGGAGCCCATAGAGAAATTGAGGACAAACCTGTGGCCACCAGTAACATCCAGGAGCTGCAGGCCCAGATTTCTCGACATGAGGTAAGACGGGAATGCAGGCACTTGCTGAGAACATGTACTCGGTTTCTAGTGAATCACAGAGGAAAGTTTGCCCTGTCCCACACACGGTGTGTTCAGTCCTTGAGGAGCACCTCTGACTGTCTTTGCATTTTTAGCCCTGTTTTTGCTGATCCTCTCCAAGACCCAAGAGCCCGAGTCTTCCCCTTTGAGGCCAAAACCTCTTTCTATGTTGCTGATGACATATCTCAACAGGGAGCCACCAATTGTCTCCTGCACCCAAAATTCTCACAGTCAGTTACACCAAAACATAGTCCACTCTGTACTCAGAGCCTGCTAGAAACAGCAGTGCTCAAAGCTTTGCTGCTTTGATCACCCTCTTTAAAAAGAAGAGACACTTCATATCAAAAAATCATTTGCTCTTTCAAACGTAGATTATTTCAGTTCCTTCCACCAATATCAGAGTATGGTCCATGTTGTTTTGCTGATTTCCAGATTGTGTCTGTCAGCATCTTCCCCATTTTCAAATATGCCTTCTTTTTTGTATTTATAACTTCATTATAAATTCGACTTGAATACTGCTTATGCAGACTTGGTCTCAGGGATCATAGACCTTGAGTGTCTTGGCCCATTGATACCTGCCAATGAATTTCTTCTGACCTGTCAATTCCTGTATGGCTCACATTTACTCTTTCCCTTGGGGACTGGCTCACAGCATCATGAATTGGGGTAAGCAACAGGGTGGAAGAGTGTGTCTTATCTGCCAAGGGTAGATACTTAGTTTATTCTTCATCTGCTCTATTTTAACTTTGTTGTCATAAGAGCAACAAACCATTTTTCCAAACCAAGTTATCATATGAGTTTCTCAGAAGATTCAGTTGTTGCCTTTGAAGGATTCAGTATCTCACTACCTACTCTCCAAATGCAATTCTTTAATATCTTGACATGGCCAATGCATCAGTAACTTACATTTATATATGATTTACAAAATAACATTGATAAACCTCTCACCTACATTTACTTCTACACTGTACATGTCATTTATGTTAACTATTGATTTCTCTTATGCCATTGGTTAAGTGAAAATATGTTATGCAAATATTTGAAACCACTGTTTATACAATTCATACATTAGGCTATATATTAAATTAATTTACTATTGAATGATTTTTTAATGTCATTTTATAAGATCCAGAATTTTGTTCTAACAACTTTCATATCATAGTACAGAAAGTATATATTTTTAAAATCTTGTCTGAAATAACAATAATTATCATTACTATAGTTTTTTGAGTTTTTTAAATAGTTTACAAGGTTGTTACATTATCTTTTATAACATCACTGTGAGGTAAGGATTTTTTTTTTAAATCATCTCCATTATACAGATAAGAAAACAGAAACTTATTTTTGTAGGTGACTTCCCAAGCTCCCAAATCTAGTAACTGGCAGAAACCAGATTCTAAGCCAGTATCTGTGGCTCCAAATTCCATGATTTTTCCCCTGCAGCAGAAACTATTTGGGCTACCTTATTGCACAGAAGAGAAGAATGATGGTCCAGGAAAATAAATGACTTGTCCAGCATCCCAGAGTTGGTGCTGAGCACAGTCAACTGTAGAGTGTCCCCCAGGGTCCTGTTCAGTGAGCCACTCATTCTGTCCCATTTTCTCTTTCCAGTTCTAAACATGAGTGTAGATATTTGTAAGTTTTGTCATGTGATTTAGAATGCATTTTCATAATAATAATGGCATTGTCCTGTGTGAGACTCGTGGTATGTATAAAACAAACACAGGAAGGAAAGTGCTGAATGGAGAAAGCCTGATTTATGATAACATAAGAACGGGGAAGGCTGCTTTTTCCTGTATTTTCAGTCTGCTTTTAATGAAATTTCAATTTTGAGGTGGATCTATTGTATAGAAGGATAACTGTCACTCCTAAAAATAATTGATAATTTATTCATTTCTAAGAAATTCACATTTTTTCTGTAATTTTTTAAGTGTTGCCTTTAAGTTGAAAAAAAAAATTATCCTGCCACTTTTCGATCATAGGAGATCGAAAAAAACTCAGGCTCTTTGCTTCTTACCTTACATACAAGGTCTCCCGGGTGCAGGAGATCGCCCAGGAGAGGGGTAGCCCCCGAACTTAGAACAGCCACAGTGTCTGCAATTCCTGCCTCTTTATACTCATCCTTTGTAGTCATTTTCAGAAATATCCAGTAAAAATTAAAAATACATATGCTCCTTGAGAACAGAGAATACTTTAGGCCAGAGGGGCTCCATTTTAATTGAGTAGATTTAATCACCAGCCCACCAAATTATTTTTATGATATAGACAGGTTTTATTCTTACAGAAGAAAGTTCTAAACAGCTATTTCTCCAAGGGAGTCATATGGGATAAGCATAAAATGCTTGGTAAATCAAAATCCTTTGTGGAGACCAGAATTTCATTGTTAACGAACAGCCCAAATGAGTTTTATACACAAGAAAGTTGAGAACTCTAGGTTAGGAGGTGGGTGTCTGTTGTCAGTGTGGGCACACAGCTTTGCGGGATACAGCAGTAAGGGGCACAGCCATCCACATAGGCAGAAAAGGGGAGGGACTAAAACTAATGCTACTTCACAAAGATTCTTCAAATCTACCCCTGTGGGGCAAGCCATTGTAAGGCTTAGTGATTTGTCCTATGAAAACAGAATTCAAGGAGTCCACTGAATTGGTAGATGTTTTCCATATGTGCATGCTAATTATAATAGAGTAACCATGTAGTAGGCACTAGGCCAGATGTAGTAAAGAGCTGTTTAATCACTATTTTAAGAAAAACAAAACCCTATTAGGTTTAATTAAGTACCTGCAGCTCTAAAAGAAGTGATGATTTCTACTTTTTAAAATTTTGGCTTTAAAAATTATTGTGCTATAGAAGAAGTCAGGAAGACAGGCTACTGGCTGAGTTTTGCTGGGTTGTTTTTCCTTCCATTTAGTCAGTTTTGGCTGGCAGGGGTGTGTGGGTGTGTGTGTGTGTGTGTGTGTGTGTGTGTACCTATATATACAGACACACACGTATATACACATATATACATACACACACACACTCATACACACATATGTACACTTATATACATAAACACACATTATACATAAACCTGTTTGTTATTTCGTTTGTGAACTTCTGAGTTGAAAGCTGTGGTTTGAATGTCAACATGTTTAAAATGATAGGATGTGCATACATATATACATACAGACGTAGTGCATATATATGCCTTGTGATTTATGTGTATACATACTATTGTTTTAAAGGCATTTAATGTTTTTGTCACAAAATGTGTTACCTGCAAGCACTAAATGACAGCTTTTCAGGAAACACATATAAAAGGAACAGAAAAAAGTGATGGTTTGGTACTTTTAGGATTCATGTTTTGAATACACATCTTCATTTTTGTTAAACATGTATACATCTTCTAAGTAAAATATAAATTTAATATTTTAAAATTACCATTTTAGATAATTTTTACTTAATATTTTGGATTTTAGAGAGCTACGTACTGTCCAGAATCTATTTTCAGTAAGCTCTTGGTAAAAGCTTTAACACCTCTATCTCTTAAACAATTTTCAACAATCAATGAATTTAAAAGCCATTGAATTTGAAATGAACTTCAAGTTCAAAGCTCTGGTTTGAAACATCAGTAACATGTGAGGCATGGTGGAGCCCATGAGGGAGAATTTGGTGAATGTACAAAACTTTATTGCGGGAACGATCTGCATAAAAATTTAGGATTTCCTATGTAATACTTAGCTTATCTACAAAAAACAACTCCGTGGGTCACAGGAATTGATACGCAAGTTACTTTTGTGACGGGGTCCGTAACAGATGACTGCTCAATTTGCTGCATTAAGTATGGTGAGAGCTGAGCATTGCATTTTTTGTAGTTTCAGTCATCACATGACCTAATTTCCATGGCATGAACCATCTGGCAGTTTCAGATTCTTTAGGCATTTTAAAGAAAGTTGTGAGTGCTTCACGTTACATAAGTCCCCGATTGCACACGGACTCCTCCCGGGCGTGGACTGTCCCACCGCGGGGCACTGAGTGTCCGACGCATGCCATGCAGCGCTCTTGCAGGCCCGCGGCGCGGTGGTCGGGCTGCGGGTGCGCTGCAAACAGGCTCCTCCGCGGCTCGCACGTCCACATCCTGCCTCTCGGCCGCGGCCGCTGCTGTCGGCTGGCGCAGCTCTGCGATTTCATTGGCCCGCGCTGGAGGAAGACGAACGCTACTAGTTGTGTTTCCTTTGGATGCCGCTCTGACACACGGGGTGGGGGGGCATGTTTCCCCAGGAGCTGGCTCAGAAAATCAAGGGCTACCAGGAGCAGATCGCCTCTCTGAACTCCAAGTGCAAGATGCTGACGATGAAAGCCAAGCACGCCACCATGCTGCTGACGGTGACGGAGGTGGAGGGGCTGGCGGAGGGGACGGAGGACCTGGACAGGGAGCTCCTCCCCGCGACCTCGGCCCACCCCTCGGTGGTCATGGTAAGTCAGGGCGAAGGCCGGGCGCGCTGCGAGCCGCGCGCTCCCTTCTGACTGCACCCTGGCTAGGGGCTCCAGTTTCCCTCTTCGGGGCTTGTTTTAGGGATCAGTGCTAGCTCTTGCAGACTCGGACTGAGGAACAGTCTCCTTAACTCTCTGACTACATTTGGGCCAAGGCCAGTTTTTGATACTGTAAACAGTGACAGTTAAAATGATGTGATTTGCTTGAGGTGGCTGAATTATTTAAGGTGCCGAAGGTTGGCCCTTCATTTGTTTATAATTTAGCAATAATACTGAGAGGCTCTGTGCTTTAAAAAATAAATTAATAAATAAAATAACATTCCTTTGCATGGTTGTCTACTGTTCTGGGGGATAGGAGAATCATGCTACACATATTTTTGTGTGTATGTTTTCCAAACTAAAACTCTGGCCGACTAGATATGCTTGTGTATTCTGTTATACAGACGTTTAATAAAATATAGAAGAAAAGGTACTATTAGGAAAGTAAGAAAACTGAAAATCCAAAGTTTAGCTTTGAATTAAAATAAAATAGTTTCCATTAATTTCTGTTCTGCAACATCACTTACCTATCACTTTGTATCTAAAATGCATTACTTATTTTTCCACACATATGTGCTGTGCCTCAGGTGGTGTGTAACCGTACCTGGACTCATTTGGCAAAATATTACCTCGAGTGCATTTATTTCCCTAGAATATTTAGAATTTGAGATGGCCACAAAAGACACAAGGTTTATTTTGTAGACTGTTCCCTTACTTGGATGATTCATGATTTTTCTACTTGTTTATAGAGACACAGACATCAAAGAAAGGAAAATAATAATCAACACCACGAGTCTTTATTGTGATATGCACTCTCTTTTACAAATGGGCCCTAGGGTCACAGTCACTTGGGGACAGAAGTCTTAAATATTAACACAATTTGTATGTAGATTTGGGTCTTGGGGTCTCTAACCTTTGTTATATTATTATTTTTGTTTTGACCAGTGCCTGACCAGGTCTTTTGTTAACATAGCTAACCGATGTTCATGTCCTTTGGGCTACATTTTATGTGATAGATGACTGCAGGTCGCTGTCACACTCTGCTGTCACCTGTCACTGAGGAGTCTGGGGAGGAGGGAACCAGCAGTGAAATTTCGTCTCCACCTGCCTGTCGCTCCCCTTCACCTGTGGCTAATACAGATGCTTCTGTTAACCAGGTACCACCCATTTGGAATTCCTCCATCTCTGATCTCTGGACGGTTGCAGGACTCCATTCTCTGTTCTTAATAGACTGTGGGCATGAATCTTGGACTTTGAGGGACGCACCATTAGGTGTGAAATTGCACAATCAGTGATTGTCGAGTGACACCACTACTGGCTCAGCATATCAGCTCCTCTTCTGGGCTGCTAGCAGTGAGATGAGCAAAAATTAGGTCACAGAAATTATAGATGGAGAAAGCCCTGTTTTAAGGTATTACAGCGTTAGTTTCTAACAGCTGTCTGTCATGGAGTACTGCATCCTAACAGAAAATGAAGTGTTTGTGTCACCGTTGTAAAATCGTATGATCTCTTTGTACTTTAACATTCATTAAACATGGTTTTGCCGGTTACCAGCTTAGATTTTGAAGTTGAAAAGCTTCTGCTCACCATATTATACTTTTTTTTTTTATTTGCTGTTGACCAATTTATGGGGTGTCTGCCAGTGTATATATTGGAATGCCTCAGTAGACGTGTGCTTTTTGTTTATCTTAATAATCTTAGTAATTAATAATCTTAAATTTGATTTCCTATAAAGTAGAGGTAATACCTTGTGGTTATGTGGTGCACTTCACATGTATTGTATTAAATTTAGCTTGTACTAAATTAAATATGTCAAAGAGTTTTCATGAAAACTATTGTATAGAAACAAAAAAATATGCTTTTACAATAGCCAAAATTTTTTAATGCACATTAAGTAATACCTTTTCTTCCTTTAGCCAGAATAACTTTTAAAAAGTTTAATTACATTACTATGAAATTACTTAAGTGTTCAAAAGAGTTGAGATTTATTATTAGGAAAGAAGCATTACACAGAGCAAATGTTCTATAAGCTATATTACAAATCAATTACAATTATTTTTATTTTAAAGCAGAAGCATTTGAAATAGTATTTATGTGATTAAAAAAAAAAAAAACCCTCCTGCCCCAAAGGAGGAAAGTAAAATTGATGAAAATTTTAGATAAAACAATTCTCTTGGTAAAAATGTATATAGCTCTAGGACGTAACCAATTTATTTATTCAGCAGACATATTCTGAGCACCTGCTTCGCATGAAGTCTTGTGCTGGGTCCCAGGTAGGTAATAAAGGAGAAGACAACAGTCCCTCTGCCATCAAAGACCTTATAATCTAGAAAGAAAGGTGGTTGTGGGATGAATAATAACAGAAGTGTTGAGAGGAAATTAAAAACAACAAAAAAGGAGAAGTTCAGGGCACTCTGGGGGAAACTGTTCTTCAAATTCCGATTTTAAAATACATATTACTCATTCTTTGATGTTGTGTTCTTCTCTGTGGTCACAGATGTTATTAGAATCAGAGAAATGTGGCTATAGTCAGCTGTTTATTGTATAGGAAAAAAATTACCCTATATAATATACTTAATGTCCTTAAAATTTTCAAATTGAGCAGTAAACACTGACCTTGAGATTAGCACTGTGGGAAGAATAGCCCTTTTCTAAGATTGTCAGTCTCAGTGATACTTCGTGTAAAGTGTCTTTCAATGTACATGTAAAAAGGCCTTATGAATGATAAAATATGCAAACGTTTTATTATGGTTACTTTAACTGTCAAACTCAATCAGATCCTAAAACTATGAGATTTTTGCTTTAAATCAGTTTGACACCCCCTGCATCAAAGAAAAACATCAGTTAAATCCCATTGTTAACGTACTTTTATGTGATCCTGCAGACGAGCAAAAACTGACCTTATGTCACAGGCGGCTTAACTCAGAGGGGGCTGTTAAAAAGCAAATGTGTTCTGCTTGGTGTTGTTCAAACACATCAACCCTATCATACGGCCACATGTTATTCTTCTCGTACAGTCATAGAAGTCAGAGGAAAATGAGCAAATACCCCAACATGGCCAACAAGCTTTCTCTGGAAGCCGAGGAGGACATTTAGAATCCCCCTAAGTTCTACTTTTCAGACTCAAAATACTGTACAGAATGTGCACAACTGTTTCGAGGGCAGCCAAATATAACTGCTTTATAAAATTGCAGCTGTTAAGAAAAGGTTTGGGGCTTGCTGCTTCTGCAAGTAGATCTTCATTATATAACTGATTCCTTCCCACCCCACCCCACAGGCAGTGTGTTCCGCCTCTGACAGTAGCTATTAGCTGAAATGTGGTAATGGTGTAGCTTCCCAGAGAGTGGAAATAACCAGGCACCCCCCAGGTCCCCCTGCCCCCGTCCCACTAGCTGCAGAAGGAAAGCAGGAGTCGGGCTCCTCAGTAGGATCAACGGAAGTCAAAGTTTGAAAAGCGCCATCTTGTACCAGGTAGAGTGCCAGACCCCCGGATAAAGGCTTAGGACGGGGGTCAGGTCTCCTGCCTGTTAGCTGAAAGGGCCCACAAAGCCCCCTTGGCGGCCTCCTCTGTGATGGGAAGCAGTGCTTCTCAGTTCACAAAACTGTGGAAATTCAGTGTGACATGAAGCCTGAAAGTACTCTTTAACCCGGACCATGTTAATGAAATAGTAGCTATAGCTTTCCAGATATAGGCCCCCAGGAATCTGCGGGATAATGACTCTCCTAACGTAGGCACAAAGTGACAAGAGACATGTGTCTTAAGGATGATTCCTCCCTGCCAGCTCTATGGGACTGATTCTATTTATTGAATCTATGTAGCCCTCAAATAGATACAAATTATTCATCTACAAAAGGTGATATATATTTTCAAATGCTTTAAGAAACCAGGAATTGTCAGTCCTGTTAAATCTGCCTGAGTAATACCCATACAAACCCACAATCTCTCTCTCTCTCTCTCTCACACACACACACACACACACACACACACCAAAGAACCAGAAAAAAAAAAAAGAATTTTTTAAAATAACATATTTGTTTTATTCTGGCTCTTTTGAGGGGCTTCTTTTTTTATAATAGAGTATTTAAAATTTTTACATTTAAAGCAACTTCTTGCTTTTCTTTGTGGACAGTAATAGTATTACCGTCTGTGTATGTAAGATGATAAATTTTATAAAAGCGATTTTATAGGTATGATTCATTAGGGATGCATATGGCTGCCTGTTATTTGCCAGACTCCCTACGACATGCTCGGAGTCAAAGACAAAAGGCTCAGGATCAGAGTCAAAGACAACAAGCTCACTCCGGTCTTAAGAGAGCTCACAGTGTGTGGGAGCAGACGAGTTATCACAGTAGCAGGGTACAAGAGCCATGACAGTGGGAAAACTGCATGGTGAGGGTGTTCTGGAGCAAGTGCCTGACCCAGAAGTTCAGAGGGGGTCAAAGATGGCACCCAGAACTTTCGGAAAAGAGTGCAAGTTAGGCAGCTGGTGTGCACTAGAGTGACGTGAAGTTTTTCAGACAGAGGGAAGGACTTATAGAAGGAGTGCTGATTGGACGGAGGATAGCCCATCAAGACAACTGCAAATAGTATCAGTATAATTAGAGAACAAGATTTGGAGGAGGAGGGAGAGGGGAAAAAAGAGACTGGGGGTACTGAAGGAAACACATCATGAAGGACAGGACCGTGAAGGCTGCACACCAAAAATTGAACTTTATCCAGAAGCTCATAGTTAACCGCAGAGGGAATTTAACTAGGAGCTATGTGCAGAAGTCGGTTTTAGAACAGATCATCCTGGATCAGTGTGGACAATAGAATAGAGCCAGAGAAGCTGGTGAGGGACAGGAGTTGCACACTCTGATGCCTGCCCAGGAATGGTGATGCTCATGAGAGAAACAGGTCGGGGGGTCAAGGGGACCCGAACAGCATCTCCGTTCATGCACCAAGCAGCCTCTCCTCTGTTAGAACTGCTGTAACCACCTGGAAAGAGCTGTGAATCTTGATTCTTATAAAGTCTCCCTAATTTGATGACATTTTCAACAATTTAATACACTGCATAAGCCAAGCTAAATGTCTGTAGGCCCAAGGTAGCCTGTGGGCTGCCAGTTTGTGCCTGAGAATTAGGAAGTTGTTGCTCTAATGAGAACTTAAACCAGTGCCGTGGCAAGGGTATGTGTCAACAGAGTTCATCCTAAATAAGCAGTGGATGGAAAAGGAAAGAAGAAATAGAGAATCCCAAGTTCAGAGCTTTGGTGAGTAGAAGTTCCATTTATTGAAAGGTGGATAAAATGTTATTTTTTTCCCCTAAATTCAGTTCTCATCCTGGATTTTTTTTTTTTTTTTTGGAAATGTCTAGTTTGAAGAGCATGTGGGATATAAATGTGCAAATGAATTTGTGAGTATGGAGCTTATAAATAGCCAATATTTCAGAGTGAGGCAAAGAGACAAACTACACGAGAGAAAGCCTGAGTGACCAGAGCTAGAAGGAGGACAGATTCAAAGGAAAGTGTTTCCAGAAGGGGACGGGCAGAAGTGTTGAATGCTTCTGAAAGGTCAGGCAGAAGAAGGGCTGAAAATAATCAGTTGGTTTCATAGTAAAAGAGTCATTAGGACTGAAGCTCAGCTGGGTTTTTGGAAGTGGATTGAGGGTGAGAAAGTGAACATTATCAAATGTAAACTGCTATTCTACCACTACTAGAAGCTGAATTACCAAGGGAAAGGGAGAAAAGGAAGAAATGGTATCATGACTGTGTGTTCACGTGTGATGACCCATAATGTTACGATTTATGGACTTTTCTATTATGTGGTATCCTGTAAGAAAAATACCCCAAAAAAGATGTTTTTAGACTGAAAATATTGACTCTATTTATATACTGGAGAAAAAGTCAACAGAGAGAGAGAGAAGAGGAAGGTTTTAATGGACGAAGGTCCTTGAAAAAGCGAAGGTGGCTGGGATTCTGGAAGTAGGTAGGAAGATTATCCTTAAGCAAGGAAACTGGCAAGTGTAAGATAATGGTGAGTCTGAAAATAGACAGGTTTTTGGAAATTTGAGAAGTTTCGGGATGATCTCAGTGGTTTCAGCTATGTGTCTGTGCTTGTGTGTGGAGTGTGTGTGTGTATGGGTGTGAGCATGCGCACACATGCACTCTGGAAAGTAAAACTGGATCGAGTCCTGCTTGGGATTTTCCAGGTGGGTAAAGCAGAGTTTAAGAGGAGAAGGAAGCAAAGGTGTTGGTGAGAGAAGAGCTTAAGTAACTTTAGACGTAGCTGTAAGTGCACATGGGGTGAACCAATTCAGTGATGACAGGCTATCATGTTCGAGAGTGCGGAGGGCGGAAGTTGGGTGAGAGTAGGGGAGCATGAACGGGGATGAGCCGAGCAAAGACTTGAGAATAGCAAAGTAGTCTACTCAGGTTGGTGACCGGATGACAAATGAAGAGGAACCAGTCTCCACATTCCAATGTCATCAGTTAAATTTGGGGACTTACCCAGAAGTCTCAACAGCACCACCAACAAAATAGATAGATCTCATGGCCTCTCTAATATGGCTTCATTCAATCCTCTGAACTCCCCAGTAATACAGATGAGGGAACCAATTCATGAGATGTGAATTTCTCCAATTACAGAGCTGCTTAGGAGGAGAATTTCCACTGGAATCTTGGTTGTCCTGATTCCTCGGGTGTCAGACTCCTGTCAGAACTCCTCCTACTACACAATCCTGCTTTTGTCCTTGTACAGACCACCAAGCGCCAGGCCCTTCCTGCTATTACTTTGGTTTTTCTAGTGGCTGGGACCTCCTTAAGACATTATTATCCATAAGGCTCAGGTATTTTAAGTTCATATGCATAGTTTTCTTCAGTATAATTGTAAAAGTAGTGAACTTTATAATACAAATTCCCAGAATATAAACATTACTCCCCAATTCAATTTTTATTAATACGCAAGCATAAAAACAATTGAGAACAGATGAATTTACATGCCTTGATAGTGTAGATTCCATTATGAGTACTATAAAATATATAATGTTATTTATATCCCAAGAAACTAATAAAAAATGCAGAAGTTTGTTTTCATCATTTAAGTTGATTATTTCTAGTGTACTTCCAGGAATTGCTTAGAAGGAATCCCTTACATTATTTGTTTCTTAGAGTAGTTTTAACTTCTAAGCCATTACATTTTTCTTTATTTAATATTAAAATATTTTAATTAATTTCTGTGACTAATAGATTCACAAATACTGAAGGTCTGGCTGTATCTTAAAAATGACGTACAGATTTATTTAAATCAAGTGCTTCTTAAATTCAATTAACATATAATGTATTATTGGTTTCACAGGTGGAGGTCAGTGATTCATCAGTCTTCTATATTGAATTTAAATAAAAATTAATTTTAAAAAATAAATAAATCAAGTACTTTTTAAAATTAGGTAGAATTTTCATCAATACATGAAACAACATTTTGGGAAATAAGATAATTTACATTCTCTTTTTTTGCCCTACTAGTTAATCAAGCTTTAAACATGTGTTCCAGTCAAATCATTTGTATCTTCATTTTACCAAATAAAAACTAAGAATGAGTTTTGCCAACTTGAAATACTGGCAAATGTGTTCATTTTTTAATTGAAGCCAAAATTCAAAAGGAACTGTAATGTGCTTCAATATGATCTTTAAATTTTTCTTGTCACAAGAATTCTACTAGCTTCTATAGTTTACAGCCCCTTGGGACAGAGGGGGGTCCTGAACCTTTCCTCCACGTGACAGAGAGTGTCCAGAGCATGGGAGCTCTGTCTTTCTCTGGAGTCCGACCCTGGGCTTTGTCCCCACAGGACATTGCTTATTACCAAGCGCTGTCCCCCGAGAGGTTGCAGACCGACGCCGCGAGGATCCACCCCAGCTCGCTGCCCCCTCAGGAGTTCTACGAACCAGGGCTGGAGCCCTCTGCTACTGCTAAATTAGATGATTTACAGCGTTCTTGGGAAACCTTAAAAAATGTGGTAAGTCTCTGAAACGTGGCATTAAGTCGGCCAGACACGGATTACCTTAGCGACTCTCTTATGCAACACGTGCAGCGAGTTTACACACTGGGTACACGGTTGAATACCCTCTGTTGGGCCACAGAGGTAAGAAAGTCTTATGAGGAAAGAAATGTCATAATCACGGAGATTAGGGGCTAGGAAACATTTGGTAACATCCTGTTCTTCTCCAGATCAGTGAAAAGCAGCGCAGTCTCTATGAGGCCTTGGAACGTCAGCAGAAGTACCAGGACTCCCTCCAGTCCATCTCCACAAAGATGGAGGCCATCGAGATGAAACTCAGTGAGAGTCTGGAGCCCGGCAGGAGCCCGGAGAGCCAGATGGCTGAACATCAGGTAATAATAGCAATGACTTCAGCTTCCTGCATGATTAAGGAGGTGCACTCTTGTGACTGACTGATCAGCCGGCCAAGCGGCCAAGCATGTGTTTGGGAGAGCAGACTGACTTATTTATTTATTTATTTTTTAAATATCAGTTCTTACAGAGTAAACAAGATTCCGAGTGGTGGTTGTTTCCACCACTGCTTCAGGGAGGGATCTAAGAGGGGAAGATAGAAATTCAGACCTCGAACTTAATTAAAGAAAGCTGCCTGCATTAGTATTGCTTCTTTACTTCCATCACACCGAGCGCCTTTCCTACTAGGTGCCAAATTATTTTATTGTTGTTGTGAGCTGTTGTTGTAGGAATAGAATGTACCCCATGTCCCCCTTCTCTGGTTATTGTTGTTTTTAAGAAATTCAGCCGGTGTGTGCCTAGCAGCTTCCCAGTATCACTAGAGAATAATTCTCAGGCTTAAGTGAAAGAAGCAGTTGAAGAATAGGGTTATACCTATATTCAAAGTTATACCCTTAGGGTTGTCCCTGACTTGAATCATTATTTAAAAGTTATATAAACTAGGCAAAACTTCGGCTTTACATGAGAAACCGAGATGATTACATTAACCTAACTCCGAAAGAAGTTAAAAATGCATCCGTTTAAAATGCATGCGAAGAAAGTGCATATATTAAAATCTAGTTAATGCTTCAGCAACATGATCGAGTGTGCTGTTAATGCACAATCAGGTGTGATGGGAGCCGAGGGTGCTGAGGTGGTCACCTAAATATGCAGTCAACCTGATAGGGGGAAGCACTACCGACCCCAAGCACAAAGAAGGAGCATGTGATGACCCTATAAAAGGCAGAGGAAAAGAAAGGTATTTTTAGATGCATATGAAGTGTTGTAAAAGCATGGCATGATACCTGTATCTGTCAAGTATGGGGACATTTATGAGCTTTAAGAGTGAAAGTCTGTACTTTGTTTTTGGAATCCAGGATATCCTTGTAATATAATAGTTGTTCATATGTATAATCTACAACAAGATTTCATTCTTTTACAGTATAGGACCTTACAGTAGAACACAAAAATGAGAACATTTCATCTAGAGACAACCTATAGAGAAATAGTAGTTTCAGGTTTTTGACCCTCTGATAACTTCTTACGATAGAGACCAAAGTGTATACCACCCAATTTTAAGCCTTATTTTGATAAAACTGCCTTCTTTGGTGCTTTCTGCTGTCCCAAGGTCATCCATAGTTGGTCTGGTTTGGGGAGGGTGTTTTAAAAATAGAAAATTAAAGACCATCTTTGTTTACCTGGATAAACCAAACATGAGGATAACCAGGGACTTAGGTGACGATTACAGTGAAATTAGGTGACGATTACAGAGAAATTTTCTCCCAAGTGCCACTGTAGCTGCCACCACCTCACTGTTATCTGAGATGTTGTTTGTGTCACACCAGGGTGCTCACCAGGATTCTGTCTGCTCCCCTGCACCCCCACGCCTGGAGGGGGAAAACAAACCACCTCCATTTGGTTACAGTTTTCTCTAAGCATTCAAAAGGAATTTGGCATAAATTATCCCAAGGGTGCATTGGAGTGAATTTAAGCATTGCCGCTCAGATTATCAGGACCAGGGGTTCCAGGGAGGGTTGACATGGTTCGACTCTCTTAACGCTCAGGGTCATCTCTGCCTTTGTTCAAAACCCATCATGCTAGTGTCCCAGGTGACTGACCACAGCTCGCCAAGACCCTTCACTAGATCCCCCCAGGATTTAGGAACTGCGTGAGAATAGGATCCTGCTAGTCTGCCCTGACATTTCATAGTTCCTAATGGGAAATGCACATTAGCTCCCAATCAGGGCCACCGCCCCCTGTGTGGCTGGCATTGGTGTGAAAACACGCATGAGCAGTGTAGAGCACAATTATTATTTTGTTCAAGGGATTTAATGGAGAAAACTCAAAATTGCATGTTAATGCTAAGTATTAAATATTAGAAATGAATCTGAGTTTTCTTGTAATTAATGCCAACCACTTGACTTTCTGTATCTTTCTAAATTGGGAATGGTAATGTGAACAATGTTAACAGTGAGGAGATGTAGCTAGTTTCATGATGATTACACACCATTTGAACTTAATAACTATATTCATGCTCTAATGAGAGACAAAGAAAATATAAATAATGTAATGTTTTTCATATGATCACAAATCTAAAATTTTCCATCTGACCTACTTTTGCCATCTGTACCTATGTTCTACAAATTCTGGGACAGAGCTGCCCACGTGAAAAGCTAATGGTATCACAAAGTCTAAATTAGTTCTTAGCTTCTGGAAGGCATTTTAAAAATTTCAAGAACTGTTGTAGAATTACTATTTCTAAGTTCCAGCTGAATGTGGATGAGGAAGTCAGGTATGCTTTCTATATTTTCTAAAAATTAATAGAAACACTTAACTTGTTATTTCTTTCCCAACTCTCTCTTGGAAGTATTGATGTTTCTTTAAAGAATTCCTACGTTTTTCCTCTAAACGTTTGTCTAAATCTGCTGAATTTGGGGGGAGTGCTGTGTCTTTCCTGTTATCTTCTCTAAATTGTATGGTAGATCTAATTTTAAGACATCCCTACAGTTCATAAGCTGACTTGTGGCTGTTCTAAGTGATAAGGCTTTCTTTGATAGGGATCTTCATGGTCATGGACAGTTCATGCTTTGTGGGTGTGTGTTGTCTTTGCCACATTAAGCTCTGAGATGGGTAGTAAGCAGAGCTCTGAGGTCATTTTCTTTTTGTTTTTGCTTTTTCAGTATACATGACAACTCAAAGTTTGAAATGAGCTGTGCAGAGTTCTGAAAGTCATAATAAAATGCATGTTTACCTTTGGTGTTAAACCAAACATGAACTTCATGTTCTCCCCAAAGTGAGTCATTTTAGAGAAGCCCAAGGTACTTATCTAAAACACAGAAGTGTCATGCACATATCCTCCTCATAAAAACAAGTCCGAAACCCAAAGATGTGCATTTCTTCTCCTTCTCTTAGTCTTAAGTCGGATGTTGAAAGGGAACAGCTGGCCACCAGCTGAGACAGAGTAATGGGGTGAAGACATATTTGACTGCTGGATCTTTTTGTTGAAATTCTCAAACCACATAAAATTAACCACTTTCTAGTGTGCAGTCAGTAGCATTTAATCATTTCACAGTGTCATTCAACCACCCCCTCTATTTGATTTCAAAACATTTTACCTCAGAAGAAAACCCCATCTCCAATAAGCTTGGCTGCTGGACCTCAAAGTTTAAAACGATAGCTACCTTCTAAAAACATTCACTCCCCCTTGAGAGTAAACTGAAACATTAATGGGGAGGCTTGACCCTAACAGGTTGAAAACCAGCCATTCCAGGATTCCTAAATCACTTATTCCTTACTACAGACCATCCAGAGAGCTGTTTTAGAACATTGTAAGCCTGAAACAGAAGCTGGTGACCTCACTGCACACTGGCTGTTCGACTCCGCTGAGATTCAAGGAGGTGGCTCTTTTTCTTTCTGGTTGCTTCATGATTCAGATACCTCTTTTATCTGTTGTGAGTTAGAATTAAGTCAGCTAGATGTGTGGAGCACCTACTATGTGCACAGCTGAAAAAAACACACTTTCTCATGAATATATGATTTAAAAATATGCTTTTAGGGGTGAATCACCAACACATTGTACAAAAAAAGCAGTGAGATTGTGGGTTACAGCGATGGGAAGTAGATAAAAGGATATTTGGGTCTTTTGGGAAAGACAGATCTTAAAAATTTATAGTGGCAACAGGAGTGGGTAGGAGGCACTATAAATATAAACACATGTGAAGAAAGGCACAGAGTAGAGAATGGGAATGAACATAGTAATAAGATAGTGAGGGGCTCTCCTCGCTTGTACAGAGGTTCAGTGCAAAAAAAAAAAAAGACATAATGGGGTCAGTCTAGTTATGGAGAAGCCTTTGAAAGAGACCAAATAATATGAATTTTATGTATTTGACAATAACCAAAATGGTTATGAATTAGTGGAAAATAATTTACTGAAGAAAAGGCATTTCAAAGTATAACAAACAAGGTCAGTCTTTAAATTCATTACAATCTCATTAAAACATTTCAGCAAGTTCTTTGGTGGAGATTGTCAAGCTAATTCTAAAATATCTTGCAAGGGGCACCTGGGTGGCTCAGTTGGTTAAGTGTCTGCCTTTGGCTCAGGTCATGCAACGGGGCTCTGGGATCAGCCCTGTGTTGGATTCCCTGCTGAGCAATTCAGTCTGCTTCTCCTTCTGGCTCTCCTGCTCACTCTCGCTTGCTCTCTCTGTCTCTCAAATAAATCAATAAATAAAATCTTTTTAAAATTTTTAAAATAAAATATTTTGCACATGTATAAAAATATATATTGCAAATGAAAAGGGCCAAAAATAGTCAAGACAACTGAAAAGAAAATGAATAAGGTTGATGGATGGATCCTACCAGAGAGCAGGACTTACAAAGCAATAATAGTTAAAATAGTGTGGCATTGGCACAAAAACCCCAACTGAGTCAATGGAACAGAATTAGAAACCATAAGTGCACAGACACCTACAGAGACACTTGGTTTATGTCAAATATTACACTGAAAAACAGTGGGTGAAAAACATATTTTCTTTTTTTTTTAAAGATTTCATTTATTTATTTGACACACAGAGAGAGAGAGAGAGATCACAAGTAGGCCGGGAGGCAGGCAGAGAGAGACGGGGGAAGCAGGCTCCCCGCTGAGCAGAGAGCCCGACGTGGGACTCGATCCCAAGACCCTGAGATCATGACCTGAGCTGAAGGCAGAGGCTTAAACCACTGAGCCACCCAGGTGCCCGAAAAACATATTTTCAATAAGTCATCCAGGGTCAGTTGGATATCTGTATAAAAAAAATTTTTGACCCCTGCTTACCCTGGACACAAAAATTAAGTTTGGGTATATTGTAGATCTAAATATGAAGGTTAAAAAAAAAAGTTTTGAAACAAATCTCCTCAAACTATCTGTAATACTTAATTTTTGAAACTTCTGACCCATCAGACCAGTATTTTAGCAAAATAAAGTAAGATACTGCTTGAGCATGTTAATGTCAAGTTGCTTTAAAAATTTCTTGTCACCTACATTCTCTCAATCTTGTCATGAACTGGTAATAAGCATTTTGCGAACTGATATATTTCATGGGCTGTATTTTATTTGAAGTATCTCTTCTAGAGGAGGACATGGAGAAATAATTCATGAGCTTGGGTAGGCAAAGATCTCTTAAATAGGACACCAAGTCTAACCCTAGCTTTTCTGGTGAAGGGAAATGCTGATATATTAGACTATGATAAAATTAAGAACTTTATTTTATTGAAAGGCAGCAGGAGGGACGTCATTCCCATTAAGGGACAACTATGTCACAAAGTGGGAGCAGATATTTGAAATACACAGAACCGAAAGGGACATTCCTAGGACTCCACAAGCCCTTTTGACCTCCTCTCTGTTACGACCTACCTCCTCCCCAAAGATCACCACCGTGTGACCTGTAAACATCACAGACTACTTTTGCCTGTTTTTGAGCTTTATAAAAATGGAATCATGCCTGAGGTACTGTTCTGTGTCTGGCTTCTTTCCCTCCCTGTCACGATGATGGAAGTTGCTTATGCTGCATGTGCAAAGGGCTGGTTACTGTCACCTCTGTATGGTACGCCACTGTTACCCACTTTGCGGATCTTCTCCACCTAAGCCTTTCAGAGGGTTCAGAGCAGTATCTCACTGTAGTTGTAATTTGCATTTCCCTGATGACTAACAAGACTGAGCACTCTTCCCTATGCTTCTTGGCCATCTGGATATCCTCTTTTGGGACTGGCTGCTAAAAATCTTTGGTCCTCTGGAGTCCTTCCTTTTCTTTTCTTACTGATGTGTAAAGTGGTTTCTATATTTTGGATAGGAGTGCCTGTGTTCTTTCTGGTTTCTTGATCTGAGTGGCGGGACATGGGTTGTGAAAATGTATAGACCGATACTTAGGAGTCTGTGCACTTCTCCAGGTGTATAGAATAACTTCAGTGTAAATATTTAAAAATCAATTGAGTGTGATGACACTTGATAGTAGGAGAAGAGAAGGTTTTCTCGTTGTTTGGCTTTTTAGTATTTGTTGAGAGCCCACTCTGAGGAGGCACTGGGCTTACCCTGAAGCCTGCAGTCAGTGGCAGAGCTGTGAACCATCCAAGTATGGGGACGTTAGCAACTATGAAATATTAGTAAATAGGAAGGCTGGGGTAGCACCTGTTTTTCTTTGTTTGTTTTTTTTTAAGATTTTATTTATTTATTTGACAGAGAGAGAGAGAGCTCACAAGTAGGCAGAGAGGCAGGCAGAGAGAAGGGGAAGCAGGCTCACTGCTGAGCAGAGAGCCCAACGTGGGGCTCGATCCCAGGACCCTGAGATCATGACCCGAGCCGAAGGCAGAGGCTTAACCCACTGAGCCACCCAGGCACCCCAGCACCTTTTTTTTTCTAACACACCATTCAAGTCCTAAATAAGAATTTCTCCTGTCAAAATCCCAGTCAAAGAGCAAGTCATAACATACCAAAAGCCGAGAAATAAAAACCGTGTATAGAATCGTGATGGATGTGAATAAAGAAATCAGCGTGCTATTTCCCCAAAAGAGCTGGAGGTCCTAGAGTGAGTCCAGGAGGCAGGGACGTCATGAGCAGGTACCTGGATGGTACTGGGACGGGCGTGGCGAGATGTACAAGTAGGGCAAGGAGTCTGGCTCTTCCTTTACAGGCAAGAAGCCACTAAGTATTCTAAAGCAGGGGAGTGAGAGGCTCTGATTACCTTTTTAAAAGCTCACTCCGACTACTTTGTGCAGAGTCGATGGGAGAGGCCAGGTAAGCCCGTAAGCAGGAAAGCCAACCCGTAGAGCATTAGAGCAATTCAGTAAGAGAGCTGGCTCGGACTTGGGGTGCGGCAGAGGCGACCTGCAGGATACATCCGGGAGGAACTGGTGTTGCACTACCTGTGGCGAGTGAAGGAGGAGGGCTGTGAAGAGAGACTCCGAGGTCCTGAGCTTGAACAATGACAGAATGTTACCTTCCACAGAGATGAGGAAGACCAAGGAGGAAGCAGGCTTTGTATGGTTCACACTGGAGATACCAGGAAACGTGTACGTTGAATATAAAGCCTAAAATTTAGGAGAGATGTCTGGGTAAGGGGTACACCCGTGTGAGCATTCAGTATGAGAAAGCATTTGAAGCCTCAGGAATGGACAGGAGACAACCAGGAAAGGGTGAGGACATAGAAACAGGGGATGGATCTCCCTGGTTTAGTGTCATGTGAGCTTTGGGTTAAACCACGGTGTCGTGTCAGACTTGGGGAAATGTGGAGTGGGCGAAAATCACGTAGAGGAAGAAAACAGTGAATTCTGTTTTCAACACGGAATCGTAGACTCAGACTGAGCATGACCCTTCTCCTTGGACTGCAGCTGAGCCTAACCAAACGTCAGGAGGACTAATTAACTGGTTCAGATCGGTTTTGAAGTCAGAACCGTCCTGGCATTCATTCTGGTACTTTCATTTCAGAGCTTTAGTTAGTGGGACCCACTTGCTGGTTAAACGACTTGCCCGTGAACTACCTTCGCTCATCTCAGGGTGACATTCCGCTAGGGATGTGATTCCTCAAACCCCAAAACATACATACAGCCATGTGATTGCACAGTCTTCTCCACAGGCCTTGATGGATGAGATCCTCATGCTTCAAGATGAGATCAGCGCGCTCCAGTCATCGCTCGCGGAGGAGCTGGTGTCCGAGTCCCCCGAGTCTGACCCCGCAGAACAGCTGGCCCTGCAGTCCACGCTCACCGTCCTGGCCGAGCGCATGTCCACCATCAAGATGAAGGCCTCAGGGAAGCGACAGCTTTTGGAGGTAACGAGTGACTCTGAAGGTGCCGCTCACGTCCACGTTCACTCCCCAACTTGTGTTGACAAGCGTGCGGGTTGTTTACGTGATCTACATTTTTATGGTTTCCCACTCAGAAGAAGCTGGTATTGTGTGTGTCTCAAGGAGGGTCCCGTGAATAGAGCACTGAGTCAGCGTGGAGCCATGAATGTGTCTTTTCACCACTTTCTGACTCATTTCAGCATGAAAAATTGAGAATGTGGAAAAGCAAAACTTGGTAGACGTGAGCCTTGGGAAGGATAATTGTGAAAGGTTTGCATAATGGGTTGTTCTGTTTAAATAAGGGCATTTTATGACTAGTATTACTAATACTCTGAAGAGTAAATCTTTAGTCATCCTTAACCAATTTGAGCACATTAGTTCGTGAAAATAGTTTTGCAATTCTGGTTCTCATGTTCCTTAACGTTAACATTATTTAATAGATAAATTTTGGTGACAGTAACATAGGTTACAAAATAAGTTATTTTGCTTTTTCTTTGTTTTCTTATAATTCCTGGCCCTAAACATAAATGATGTTCATATTGTTGCTTCTATAAATTTGATTAGACTGGAGACCTTTTTTTTTTTTTTTTGAAGATTTTATTTATTTGACAGAAAGTCAAATAAATAAAGCAAGAGAGGGAACACAAGCAGGGGGAAAGGGAAAGGGAGAAGCAGGCTTCCTGCTGAGCAGAGAGCCCGACACAGGGCTCCATCCCAGGACCCTGGGATGATGACCTGAGCCAAAGGCAGAGGCTTAACCCACTGAGCCACCCAGGCGGCCATAGACTGGGGACCTCTTAAGGATCTTTCGATTGTCTCTCTCCTGGTGTCTCTAGGGTGAAACACCTTCTCTGGCACATAATCAGTTCTCAATACATTTCTTATTATATGAACGTAAGAGTATTTATTTAGCTGCTGGTAATGCTGTAATTCAATTGAACATAGACCTGTTGTGTGTAGGCTCTTTCCAGTTTTACCTATTGTAAGATTAGTCAAATCATATATTCATGGATTTTTGTTTGAGAGAAATTTAAAATAATGTGTCCGCTCTATTTAATTTCTATTTTCAACAAGCTTCTCTGATGATTCTAAGGTGACCCCAGAAATTTTAAAAATAATGACAATAATAAGTTATTAATGAAATAATTTTTAAAATAAGGTATTTACAGTCCTTGTCTTAAGAATTAATTTTTGAATTCACTAATACTGTTCCTAATCACACTATGAAATCCTTACGGAGTTTTAAAATGACATGATTAGCTTGGATTTTTTTTAATATGAATTATTTGCCATCATTGAGAAAATCCAAAGATATAACCAAAAAATTTGAATTTCTGATTTCACTCAAGAAACTCGTACCACTGAGCCCATGCTTCCTGTGGGGAATCACGTGCCTGAAACCTTATGGTGGTGCTTTGTCCCCACCACTCCTTACACTTTCCCAGACATTGAGGTAAAGTATCTATTGCCGTTTACCACATTCTGCCATTGTTTTGTTCTAATCCTTGGTCAATTTCCGTTATTTACATTATCTGCCTAGCCCCATAGGCATATTATGTCAGAAGCTTAAACTCTGGGTTCACATTAGAATCATCAGAGAAGCATTTAAAAAATACTGATTTTTTTTTTTTAAGGTGACCTGCAAAGTTAAGGCAGCGATTTTCTTTCTTTCTTTTTTTGTTTTTTTTTTCTTTTTGGTTTTTTTTGTTTGTTTTTAGGTTAGGTGTTTTTTTTTTTTTTTTTTTTTTTGACAGAGAATGAGAGCACAAGTAGGCAGAGTAGCAGAGGGAGAGGAAGAAGCAGGCTCCCTGGGAGCCTGACGTGGGGCTCAATCCCAGGACCCTGGGATCATGACCTGAGCTGAAGGCAGTTGCTTAGCCAACTGAGCCACCCAGGCGCCCCTAAAAAATACTGATCTTGAGACTCATTTCCAGAAACTCTCATTTATTGCTCTGGGATGTGGCTAAAGTATGGTTTTTTTTTTTTTTCTTTATAAGTTGCAGTGATTCTGATGTACAACCAGGACCAAGAAGAACCCGGTTCTTTTGTGTTGAATCCTCATGACTTTACCTGGTGGTGATCTATGTTACATTTTACTTAATTCATTAGGAGAAGTTAAGTGAGCAGCTTGAGGAACAGAGACAGGAACAGGCTCTGCAGAGGTACCGCTGTGAGGCCGACGAGCTGGACCACTGGCTCTTGAGCACGAAGGCTACTCTGGACACGGCACTAGGCACAGCCACGGAGCCTATGGACATGGAGACCCAGCTGGTGGACTGCCAGGTACAAAAATGGTCTTGAAGGAAAATGGCAACATCAGAAAGTATATTGTTCAACTACAGAAAACAAAATAGTAAAAAGACTTGGTATGGATATATGAGTTTTCACAATCCATATGTTTTATATAGTTAGAAAGTAGAAATGCAACACCTTATGAAAGCCTAAATGATATCCAAAATTGGATTTAGTCTTTTGAAAAATTTTACTGGTGGTATCTACTCTTTAGAAAATCTTCAGCTTCCTAAAAAGGACATTTTTTAAAGACCATAAATACCAAAAACACTTATGGTATCTATATTTAGTGGCTAGTAAGGACTACAAACCCAATGAACAGAATTACTGTCAGTGAATCAGACTGTGGATAAACACAACAGGAGGTGTCTCTAGGTGCTCTGTTGTAATTTTGGTTCTAACTCTGATATATTGTTTGGACAACTTGGAAAAACTGTCAGTTACAAAGAGATAGACTAAACATAGGAAGGTTGTCTTTTGGAGCAGAAAATTACCTTCCTCTGATGTGAAGCCGCTCGGAATTAATGTAAGGACTAATGATATTAAGGTTTTATTGTAATATTTTTTATCTCTTCATTATGGAAACTTTAAGACACATGTATTAGTATAGAGAATAGATAATGAACTCCCAGGTACCAGTCACCGAATTTCAGTGATTAGCAACATAATAGACTTCACACGTTGGTGAAGTATATCTAGAAGCTCTTTCATTTAACAAACTAACAGGTATCTAGAAAGATTTACCTAATCCGCAGCAGTAAGTATCAGTATGCATGACTTCATATGGCTCCTATTTAGAATCAGGAAATGTGCAAAAACCATTAATGAAGGAACACTGTCTTTTTTCTTAATATGTAGTATGCTATTTTGATTGTTCTTTTTATGATTTGGGATTTATTGTAATAGTGATCATTGTAACTTAGATTTTTAATCTCTCTAGCCAACTTATCTATGTGTACTCAAAGCTTTGTTATTCTCTGCCTGGATGGGAGAGAGTAGAGAGCCATGTGTGAATGTTTTCTGTTCTTTATATCATCCTTTCTTGCTGGAAAGAAGCGTCTATTTTTTGCGTTTCCTGCTAGTGCTTAAAATTAGCACATGTACTAACTAGCGTTCCCAAATTATGTTTTACCATTACTCCCACCTCTCCCTTTTGGATGTCTCTATTTTTATAGCTATACATAAATTCCACAATTCAGATAATACATTTCTGTTTTTTTATGAAGTATTGAAATGGTATTTTGACAACATTTTTGGAAACTAGAAGCATATGGAATCACACAAATGTACAGCAATTCCTCAGTCCATTCAAATGTAGTATTTAAGCCAGTTGTGTAATTAGAACTGTGGCTATTACTAGGGTCTTCTTGTAACTTTTGGGGCCCTGGACACTTGGCCTCTATGGGTGTCTTCCTCTATAAAACAACAAAAATTATATTTTTATTTTATAACAGCTTTGGTACAAGAGTAATATAATCCAGGGTGGATTTATTAATACATTTTCATTATTATATTCATTTTTTCTTCTGATTTTAGAAGAAATTAAAATTAAGATTTTTATTGGCCCTCTGAAAGTATTATGAGCTCTCAGCACTGTGCCAGCTGTGCCTAATGGAAAAGTCTGTTCGGCACAGAATTATATTAGTTTCTCAAAAATAATCTTCAGAAAATCATCCGTTAAGCCCCATTCCGCTAAACATTTCACGCTTCCATTTAGTTCAAGTTTTTTGGTTCCAACATATATTCTTACAAGTTGATGGTAGTTTTTCTGATTTAAAATATCTTTTCTCATTAATAAATTACTTTGACTGAATATAAGTTAGAGAGCACATTTTAAAAAGTTCAGAGTTAAGGAATATAAGAACAGAGTGATTTCTGCAGAAAATAAAATGGTTATTATTTGTTTAGCTGTGATGTTTTTATTTTGTAATTTTTTAGTTTTTGTTTTAAATCTTAGCTTGGAAGAAGGAAGACTAGTTTGCTCCTTCTCTAAATGTAGCCTCTATTTCAGAAGAAAAGGCACCCCTAAAGTGTTGTCACAGAAAGTGAGAGTAAAATTCTTAGGAAAACTTTTGGAAATGCAAGGTTAAAAATGGATTATATAAAAAACCAAAAAACAAAAAAATTAAAATCAAGAAATGAGAGCAGCAATCTGAAAAAAAAAAAAAAGCAGTGTCTTGAAAGAGAGAATCAGCTTTAAGTTGACACTTAAGGGTTGATCTTATGATGTCTTTACTCTTACCAGTCATAAGCATTACAATCTAACACTAAAATGATAAAACAATCATAATAATGGGATACCACAAAGGCATGGTCTTTTCCCCTTATCCGTTGACTAGACGAAATGTGCATTCCGTGTGCTTTTCCAGTATGTTTTCCATTATATAATATTATATAATATCTAATATTAAGAGAAAAAAATTAGGAAGCTCAAGGAATTTTTAAAAATGTATAACCTCTCTTCAGGTCTGTCAGAGAAGTAGGAAAAAACCCCAAAGGCATACTCTTCCAGTGAAAGACTAAGGAAGTGTTGTGTTTCTATGTGAGAAAGGATCTTTGCGGAGACCTGCAGGGCGGTGAATGTCATCCTCATTTCTGTTGCTCCAGAACATGCTGGTGGAAATCGAGCAGAAGGTGGTGGCCTTATCGGAACTCTCAGTCCACAATGAGAACCTGCTCCTGGAGGGCAAGGCTCACACGAAGGAGGAGGCTGAGCAACTGGCTGTAAAGCTGAGGACCCTCAAGGCGAGCCTCCTGGAGCTGCAGAGAGCGCTGCACGACAAACAGCTCAACATCCAGGTGAGGGCTCCAGCCACCGCAGCAGGCCAGCCTGGCAATGCTGCTCAATCCTAGGGCATTACTGCCAGGCCTTTTCTGTGCCTGGTGTCCCTAAAGGAAGATTTGGGGAAGGATACATACTTCCGCTTGGATCTGCTTTACACACACGTTGGCACTGATTTTCAGGTAGGTTTTGTAAGGACTGTGTGAATCCATAGACCTGAAGACTGCGATATAGGAAAAGGAAAGAAAATGAAAATAAATACCCACATTTAGCAAATATACTATTTTAAGGTATTAAAACATAGGTCATAGGTTAAGATATTCTATAACATTTTAATATTTTTCTTGTATTCTCCTGTATTCTGTTTTTCAGATATACTCAGGCTTTTTAATTTAGGGCTCATACCATACATTGTCATATATTCTAGGTGAATTGAACCTTTTTACTCTCACGTGATGACCTTACAGTTCCCAAATAGTGATTTTCTGTTTTATGTTTTTGGAGCTTTTGATTTCAAGAGCTTTTGGGGGGTAATATTTGCTTGATGGATCCTTTAACTTTCCTTGGTTTTACCCTTTCTGTGTCCTTCTGTTTTAGATTTGCTTCTTAAAAAAAATTAGCTGTACTTTGTTGATTTTAAACATTTATCTAATCAGAAAATCTCTGACTTTGAAAGGACGGGGTTAGTCCATTTAAGTTTACTGGGGATTACTGATCTGTGTAGACTTCTGTTATCTCACTTTTTGTTTTTTATTTTTTTGTTCTCCTTCAATTCCTTTTTCTCCTTTTTAACCTTTATTTTTAAGTGGTTGAACGCTTTTTCCCCCAATATCTATTCTTTACCACTCATACCTAACAAATTCTAAGTTTATTTCTTAATCTTCTTCTAGGTCAGTATAAGAACCTCAGAACACGTTCACCCAGACTTCTCCTCATGTAACTTTCATTCTGAGACTGTCCAGTATTTTAATTTTGTTCTTTTTTAATCTATAAAAATTAGAAATTACTATTATTATCCTATACAATAATTAAGGGGACATTTATTGAGATGCAACTAAGTGTCAGCTGCTCTTTTATATAACAGAGTGAAGAAGAGTGGAAAATAACTATATTTGTATCTGTATGCCTGTGTTTATGTCTATACATCCCTAACCTCAGAGGATTATGGTTGGGGGAAACAGACAATAAATAAAATTAAAACCCATTATTATATATTAAGTTAGGAGATGATAAGAGCTATAGGTGAGATACCATAAGGTGAGTAGATGGAGAAAGGCCATCTGGGTAGATTGGCAGTTCTAAACAGGGTGTCCAAGGAAGCCTCCCTAAGATCACATTTGAAGGAGAAAACTTTGCTGATATGAAGGAGAGAGTTCTACACAAAGGGGAAAGCAAGTGCAAAGGCCCCCAGCTAGGATCATCCCCAGTCTCTTCAAGAAGGCCACTGTGGCTAGAGTGGAGTGAGCAAGGAGAGAGTGGTGTCCGTTAAAGCCCGACACAGGTAACAGGACTGTGTCGGGCTTTTGGTGCAAAGGATCTTACAGGCATTGTAGGTACTTTGGTTTTTACCCTGAGGGAAATAAGAAACCACTGGACTATCTGGGAATGACAAGATCAAAAGGAGTGACAAGATCAGCCTTTATCCACTATAGGGAACCAGGGTGGAAGCTCAGACACCAGTTAAGAGGGCAGAGTGTAGAGGTTGAGGTGATGAGAACTTCCTAGATTCTGTAAAGGTGAAAACTATCTGAGGAACAGATATCAGAGGAACAGAAAGAGTAGTTAAATCAATAGTCTAATTTCGTAAAGGTGAAGTCTGAGATGCTTATTCAGTGTCACTTCATGGCTGGAATTCAGGGGCGAGACCTAGACTGGAGTCCTCATCCTCTAGATGGTCCTTGAGGCGTGAGGTTTGATAAGATCCCAAAGGGATTGAGGAGGGACGAAGACCCAGGTCCCAGAATCAAGTGCTGGAACACTCCAGTGTTAAGGATTTGGAAGATGTGGAGGATCCCTCAAAATAGAATGAAAAGGAGAAACCAGGGAGATGGGAAAAGGATGAAGAGTTTGTTTCCTGGAAGCTACCTGCAGGTCAGTGGGGCAAGAAAAGGACTGGGAGCTGACCACTAGATCTCACGACATGAAGGTCTTTGGTGATGTCAGCAGCAGCTGTTCCAGCTGAGTAGGGAAGGCTGAGGTACTCGGAATGAAAAGTGAGGACGAGGAGAGACAGGTTGGAGAGGAGAGTATGAGTGACTCAGGAATTTCCCTATGAAGAGTGGCAGAAAAATGATAAGCTTAAGAAACATTTTAAGATCAGAAGAGTAATGGCATGCCTACATGGGGATGAAAGTATGTAGTAGAAAGTAGAAGAAAGAATGATGAAAAAGAAGCTGATGAAAAATGTGTAGGAGGGAGAAGATAGGGCCAAAGGGCAGGGTGTGGTCTTTGAACTCCAATACCAGGGAAATCTCTTATTTGAGTCAGATGCTGGCAGGGCATAGGACCACCAGTTTTGTGGTGGAAACTTGACGGACATACACTCTGACTGCTTCTGTGTTCTCGGTGTAATGACGATTCTTTTCAGACTAAACTATGTATTTTCAGTTCTTTTTGCTAATCATGTAATTATGTGGTCTGGAACATCAAACCTGATCAACAGAAAACTGTTAGAAGAAATGGAAGAATTTAGTAAGATGACTGGCTTATTAAAAATAAATAAAGTGGAGAATCCAGGGACACCTGGGTGGGCTCAGTTGGCTAAGCATCGAACTCTTGATTTCAGCTCAGGTCATAATCTCAGGGTGCTGGAATCCAGCTCCATGTTGGGCTCTGTGCTTGGTGGGGAGTCCATTTGGGGATTCTTTCTCTCCTCCCTCCCTCTGCTCGCTCTTTGTCTCTCTCTCAAATAAATAAATGAATCTTTTTTTAAAAAATGGAGAATCCATAACTTTGCCATGTACAAACAAAAAACAACTTAGAGAAATAAGAATTTTCCATCCGTAATACCAACAAAATATGAAATATTTGGATTCTCAACAAATAACACTTTAAAACCTGGGTAGAAAAAAAATGTGAAATGGACAGATAAACTTTATTCTTAGGGAGAAATACAACATTTTAAATAAAAGATGATTTTTTTTCTGTACTAACATATAAATTTAAGTTATTTGGAATGTAACACAATAATGTAAAATGTGACAAAATTATTCCAGGTTTATCTGGAACAAAATAAATGTGAAAAAAACATAATATTCTGAAAGTGAAGAGTTATGAGGGCTAATTTAATTTTACCATATATTAAAATACAAAATTACAATAATTAGAATAGTTTGGCATTGGCACAATAAATGAATGAACAAAAAAATTTACAGAATAAATATTCCAGAAAAAGACTCCAATATTTAAGGGAAATTGATTAATGGTTAAGGTAGTATTTCAAATCAGTGGGTAAAACAATAATAAAGCATTAGGCAAACCACTTGAAATATAAGCTAGATTTCCTGTTGCGTTCTTTATAGTAAAAAAAGCATCACAGATGAACCAAATATTTAAATATAAAAACTTAAACCTGAAAAGTTCTGGATATATGAGTATTTAAAAAAAAAAAATCTTAAGATGGGAAGGATCTTTGTCAGTAAGCTCCACACCCAGAATTTTAGCTTCTTTAAAACAACTACGCAAAAATGAAAAAGTTCTATATGACCAAAAAACAACTACACAAAAATGAAAAAGTTCTTTTTTAAAAATTTAAAAAAAAATTTTAATTAACATATAATGTATTATTAGCCCCAGGGGTACAGGTCTGTGAATCGCCAGGTTTACACACTTCACGGCACTCACCGTAGCACATACCCTCCCCTGTCCATAACCCCACCACCCCCTTTTTTTTTTGTAAAGATTTTATTTATTTATTTGACAGAGAGAGATCACAAGTAGGCAGAGAGGCATGAAGAGAAAGAGAGACAGGGGGAGGGGGGAGGAAGCAGGCTCCCTGCTGAACAGAGAACCCGATGCGGGGCTCGATCCCAGGACCCTGAGATCATGACCTGAGCCGAAGGCAGAGCTTAACCCACTGAGCCACCCAGGCGCCCCAAAAATGAAAAAGTTCTATATGACCGAAAACATAGTAACCAAATGAAAAGACAGAGAAATAGGGAAGAAACTGTATAATTCACATAACAAGGAATTAATTCCCGTAATTTCCACACATCTTTTATAAATCAATATGAAAAGGCCACCTAATAGAGGTATAGACAAAAGATGAAGAGATGATTCAAATGAAGAGACATACAAATGGCCAGTGAACAATGAACGTATGAAAAGATATTTTAACTCACTATTGGTTAAATAAATGCAAACAAAGGCAAAATACTGCTTTTTAAATTTAAATTTACATACTTTAAAATGTACATGCAATCTGACTTTATGAATTAAAGCAAAAAGGAAAATGTTAAAAATATTAAAATTAGGGAGCAGGGAATATAATTGGACAAATGAAGATGATTTTCTGAGACGCAAAGTTGATAGTAATTTACTTGGTTTTACAAAAAAAGTATTATCTAATATAGAATGCTTTTTTTTTTTTTTCCTAATGGTGATATGCGAATGAACCTTATTTCTAAAACCAGATCAAAGGGAAAGACTTCAAGGTTCCACATCTGGAATACTTATTGAGAGAGCTGCAGTTGTTGAAAATTACATCAAAAATGGATGATGTACTATATACTGGCTAATTGAACATCATCATCATCATCATCATCATCATATAAAGGAAAGCTGTGCTTGTGTCCTACCTCTTAGAGCAGATAGGAAGCAAGGGGGAAGCCTGATACATTCTCAGGTGGCACATGTCAGGATTAAAAGGAGGTTTGAAGGGTGGGGGTGAAGGGGTGAGGGCACAACTTCCAGGGCTTCAGGCCTACTACAGGCATATAAATGAGCGAAGCAGGCCCAGTCAGGACCTTGGTGGGCTGGTCTCATGTCAAGCAGCTGTTCCTCAGCTTGAGCTATTGTCGTACGAGAACTTAGAGGCAGCATTGCTAGATCTTCCAGAGAAGGGACATTCAGATTTATATCTAAAAATCTCCCAGTTTTAAAACACTGCCATTTGATTCTAGAACTTTAAAATAATCTGTGCGCCAAACAGAAGTCAGACTAGTTTCTTGGACCGTCACTTTGCAACTGCTGTCCTAAAGTGTCCCCATCCTGGTGTACCTCGAGTTGTTCACTAGGTGACCTGGGGCAAGATCCTGGAACTTGAGGCCAAATAACCCATTTTCTCATCTGTAAAATAAGGATATTAGTAGTATTCGACTTTCAAAAATTCTGAGGATTTTAATGCAAGTAATGATCACAGGAAGTGCTCAAATAGCAATGACTCTAATAACAACACCACCAGCTGTTTGCAAACCACATTCTCTGGGGGGAAAGGAACTCCTGACATGTTGGAAGGTTAGGTCTGAGATGGGTCAGGGCTGGCTGGGCTGAGCTCTGCAGCCGCTTTCGGAGCTCACACCCGGTCTACTGCCCATGGCCACAGAAATTCTTCAGATAGAGTAAAATCCTGACCCTGCCCTCAAATGGAAGGACTTCCTGAGCATACTGTTGTAAAAAGTGTAAATACTGGAAAATATAGTGTTTCATTGAATCGAAATTGAACCTTGTTTATTTTTAAAGTACCTATAAATTTCCTCATCTTTTGTCTAATGAGTTTCCAACATATAAACTATTGATTTTCTTTTTTTATAATTCGAGTTATTTGAAGAGATTGTTTTTCCAACTGTAGGAATGAAAGAGCCCTGTTTCCATTATTGTTACCATAAAAAGGGTCATTTGCCTTCATGTAAAAAAATTCATAGTTGATCTGAAATTAACTAATGTTGATTGGGGAAAAAACTGAATGTAGATGACAGTGAGGTTGTACCTTTCGTTTGGGGCTTGCGTGATTCAGGAGATCTGAAGCCCCTTCCTCAGTCTTGTATGGCCATAAGCACACTATTTCTCAGTGCTGCGTGGTCGTATCTATCACGGCCATCTTTTTTAACTAATTGGACTTCTGTATGTATCAAAGAATAACCAGTCCCTTTAGTCCCCCCACCAAGAGATTTCTTCTCTTTGTGAAGGGACACAGACATATGGGCATGTAATACTATCTCTTGAATTACATGGGATCTTTCCTCATAAAAAGTTTAGGTCATTTTCACACATTATCTTCCTTTGAAGGAGCAGAGTTTGCTCTATATAAACAATGAAATGCTTTATAAAGTAATGTTTTATTTAATTTTTAGCATTTCCAATCCTCACTAATCTTCCAAAGAATGTTCCTGGCAAAAGTGGTTACTGTTCTATTATTTCCAAAATAAACAGCTTATGTAGCCCCACCCTTGGGGAACTCGGGACCAAAACTGCCTTACTTCCTGTTTCCTAGGTAGGAGAGAAAACAGTAACCAGACCTACAAGAAGAGAATGTAATTATCATTATTCTATTCCTTCAATCAGTGCCTTCTCATCCCCTGAGGAAAGGGAAAGAAATTTGAACTGGGTTCTTAATCATTTTTTGTTTCCTGTGGTCCAAGTCTTATGTTTCGAAATGACTAAATCAGTCAAAGAAAAATTTACTAGCTGAAAAATGGAACCTAACCACATAGAAAATACGTACTAAACATCTGCTTTTGATGCTACTTAATTTTTGTTTCTTCAGAGCTGTGGATTCAATTAGTAGAATATGACTCCCCTTAGATTTTAGGTCTTAGATTCTGAATAAGTGTCTGGCGTGTAAAGGTAGTTAGCTGTTCTTAAGATCTAACATTTCCAACATTATTTTTCTAAGCACAAATTCAGTGTGAGGAATTTGGTGGGGGGGGAGCTCTCAATCGAACAGTAGTAACCTGTGTAGAAGGGTGAGGTGCTGTCCCTGAGTAGTCACCATGTGAGTCTCTAGGCTGGGCTCTGAAAACAAACCCTTACTGAAGAACAAAGCAGAGGGGAAGTGACCTGATCCCACATGAAGTGGCAGGTCATGGCCATGGCCACCGTTTTGTCAGCAGGGCAGCTCTCACTGGGAACAGCTTTCAGCCTTGTATGCTGACTTCCTTGGTGTCATTCTCTGTAGGTCCCTTTTGACCTACTGTCTCATCCTTATCAGAAAAGCCAGGATCTTTCAGAGTTTATGTTGAGTAGATGGTGCATTCTCAGATGGGAGAGAATCTGTTTCATGCAGAAATGTGTGGGCTTTGTGCTGAAGAGTGTCCACTCACCCCATACCTCCTACCCTCAGGAGAATCACAGCTTATCTGTAAGCAGCATTCCTGGAGGAATGGGGAGTATACTGAACTGGTGTCACTGGTCCCCCATTGGGAAGGTCCTGTGAAATGCAAATGGCGCACTTTAAACCAATGGCGTCCCCATTGTCCTCTATAAGCCATATTCTCTTGCTGGAAAGCTGGATCATCTTAAAGGAAGGGAAGTCACCTGTGAGCTAAGGTGGCTCTGAATCTGGGAGAGGATTACATATAATATTACCTCTGGGTTTCACGGTTTCCTTCAGTTCACTATACTTCAAGCATTGATACCAACACAGCAAAGTCCACGATCTCTACGTTATCTCAGACATTTTACAACTTAATCATGAGACTCTAATGAGTGAGACAGAAGGGTCAATAGACCCCATTTATCTCCCAGAATAGTTAGTGTAAAAATCTGAAAATGAGAGGAAGAGAAAGGTCTTCGTGGGCGATCAGGCTGGATGACCAGCAGTGGCGGGCTCTCATTCCATCGTCAGATTTAGCGATGCCAAAGGACTGGAGAGGAGCAGCCTTGGAGCTCGGGAGCAGGACCCCTCCTCCATGAAAGCTACCCATAAACTGTCCCTCTCCTCTGCCCCGGGGCACAGCCACACTGGTCCCATCACTGCTGCTGCTCTCTCTGAGATGCCCGATTTCTCTCTTTTCACGGTCTTTGGTCCAGCTCTTCCTTCTGCCTGGGTGGGGGAGCCCTACACCTACAGCTGTGCCAGGCAGGTGGTTTCTCATCACCCAGTACTCAGTGCACTTTGTCTGCTCTCAAGAGACTTTCTCTGACCAGCCTGGGAAAACTTTCCATCCCATTATCTAGTTTACAGTCTTTGTAGCTCTTAGCTCATCTTCTTGGTTTACGGTCTGCCCCCCCAGCAGGGCCCCTGTCTGGCTTCTTGGCCAAATATGCCTAGAACAGTGGCTGACACACAATGCATTCTTATTTAATAAGTATTTAGTGAATTAGTTGTTATAAGATTGTAGAATTTATCTTTTTGACATATATATACACACATGTGAGTAGAAGGGCTCTCATTCTGAGTTAATTGCATTCCGATATGCAGTATCAAATTCCATCAGAGTAATCGAATTCCATCAGAATTCCATCAGAATAATCATGCAGGATGGATAAACTCCTGCCTGGGTAACAAGTAATTTCTCTTTTCTTTCTCCTTTACCCAAACAGCATCCACGCCATCAGTGGCAAGAGATGACAGTGGGGTCTGATCTGGGTGGCGATGGTAAGGGAAGTGAGATCTAGAGTTATATTCCCATGGAAAAAGTTCTGGAATATCTGGTGACCACATCAGTTAGCTAAAAAAGCCCAACCTCTGAGTAGACAGTTTCCCCCTCAAATATTTGAGTATAATCATCTATTTATTGTTCTCATTTCTGCAAATACCATAAATTCGATGGGTTTTGTGTTACCTTTTTTTTTTTTTTTTTTAAGTCTAGTTTCATGTCCAAATGGATCTACTTTGGTATCATTCTACAGACCACACCAAAGTCGCCTTCACTCCATTTGGTTAAGGTTTCTCTGTGGAATATGACTCTTGATTTCTGCCTCATTAAAAGCAGGGCACAGCGCAAGAGAAGGAGGAGAGCCATGCCGACCTAACTGCCAGCCAGAGCCCTGGGGTCCAGGACTGGCTGGCCCAAGCCCGGTCCACGTGGGCCCACCAGCGACAGAGCAGCCTCCAGCAACAAAAGGTAAATCACTTCTGACCTCTCCATCGCCTGCAGACCTGCCGCACAAACATCGTTTTAGGTGGACAAGTGACTTCTGTACTAAATACAGAGCGCCCCTTTATCTTCCCTTTGGACAGACACAAGGCCTGGCTAACTGCTTCGGTGTACTTTCTTCTGACCCCTGGAATGACTGGTCATTTTAAAGCCCGATCTTTAAGAAAAGGTGGTGTTCAGGTTTACAAATAGCATCACTCAATTATAATCTGCCTGATGAAGGTTACCGACTCTGTTCCCAGATTCGCCCCAATTTGAGCCTATTTTAGAGAATGAGTAATCTCAGAAAGGCCTTTGAGAATTGGTAAAAATAAATAAATAAATAAAATAAAATAAACCTGAGTTACATGTTTTTAAAAAAAACTTATTAAAAATGCAATTTATTTCTCACTTTTCAGTAGGTACCATCATAAGATAGGATTAAAAATTATTGCCTAGTGAAACAAATGAGCTTTGATAAGTAAGAATGATTTCTCATTGACACCATAGCATTATGTATGGGGCATTTTTCACAAGTAGTGAAGAAGTAAAACCAAATCTGTTGATTGTCCAATTTACAAAGCAAGTGGGAGATTCAAGGGAGCTATTGCCCTCAAGGATTTCTCTCAGCGGCAAGAGGCAGTATTGATTTTGAAAAGTGAAAGTGCGTTGTGTACCACTTGAGGGCACCATTGCCCAGCAGAATTCTTTCCTTTTTCCATTAATTTTTTCCAAGATTTTTCAGAGATACCTTTTATAAAAGCCAAAGAAAGGTATAGAGTACTTTGGAGACATGATTGTGCGTTTACCTAAATCACACCTGATATGCAAAATCTGAATTTAGGAACTTACTACAGGCGTTCTCTGAGAATTTTCTAGACATAAAACCATGATTGTAGGTAATAAGCAAAGTAACACATGTTTTCATTTCTTCTTTTCCTTGAGCAGGAGTTGGAACAGGAATTAGCCGAGCAGAAGAGCCTCCTGCGGTCAGTAGCCAGTCGTGGGGAGGAAATCCTCACCCAACACTCAGCTGCAGAGACCTCTGGCAGTGCTGGGTATGTTTCAAAAACACTTTCTCCCAGCTTGCCCAGATTTGAAGAAATGTAAACATCTCACTCGAAATTTTATTTTAAACATCTGCAAGAACTTAATAATTTTGTTTTCACTTTGTGATATTAAATTTACTTGCATTTTGAACATTTGTTGTGCAACATGAGTATAGCTAGTAATTATGAAGGCTGGTGGCTGACTTGTTTGCCCTCTTTCCAGTATGCTGAGCATATCTGTCCAAAGAAGATGCTTCTGAGTTCATTTTTTAGAATCAAATAAGAAATGCATTCTAAACACATTCTGAGTGATTATATCTAACTGCAAAGTATTTTCCCTGCAAAATGAGCTTATCTATCTCTAACATCACTCGGAAAAATAAATGTGTGTGCCCACTAAACGTCTTCGTTTGTCTTGATGATGTCTGTCTATAATTTCTACATGTAAAGTCATTGCGTTTCAAGAGCTGGTTCGGAATGGAAATGGAAAGCCTTGTACATAGCTGAGCACAAGTGTTAAAAATGAAGGAAGTTGGAGAATTTTCAGGCTGGAGATTCTGACTTAAAAGGCAGGACAGAAGAGAAACCACAGCAGGGTTGCAGTATCCCTGTATTTTGAGTCAGGTCTGGGTATTATTCCATTTCTCCAGCAGTCGTCCTGGGAAAGGAACTCAGCCCTGAGCCTCCATGTGCTCACCTCTAGGATGACAGAGATAATCAACCGCCTCCATCTCAGAAGGGTTTGAAAGCGGAGGATGCAGCTGAGAGGCTATGGAGGAAAACCTTAAATTCCAAAATATTTTTTTAAAAAAGGTTTCAGTGAAACCGCTTGTACCTTGTAAAGATTTTGATTTCGTGGTATCCTTTGGCAACCGGGATTCGGCAAGTAGCTCGAATGCCGCTGACTCCAGCGTTGTCCATGCTGAACATTTACTGGAGGAAATAACCAAAGGAGGAAATAGATGCTATGGAGATGACTTTTGAAATATTATTTATAATACCAAGTAATAGAAAAGGAGGCAATGCCTGCTAGTATAAAAAAGCCTAAGGAAAATTTTATGCATATATAATCTTAACAAAAAATTATATAACAATATCAGAAAATGTGTATGTGGTACTAAGTAAAAGTGAGATATAAAACTGTAGGTATAGTATATGCGTGGATAAGAACCATTTTCGCTATTAGATTATATATCAAAGCTAACTTTTGGGGCATCTGGGTGGCTCAGTCAATTAAGTGTCTTGTCCTCAGCTCAGGTCATGATCTCAGGGTCCTGGGATCGAACCCCTCATCAGGCTCCCTGCTCAGCCAGGCAGGCTGCTTCTCCCTCTCCCTGCTAGTGCTCTTTCTCGCTCACTCTCTCTCAAATAAATAAACAAAATCTTTAAAAAGAAAAAAAAAAGCTGACTTTGGAGAGGATAGATTTGGAGACTTTTATTTTTTGCACTTTAATCAAAGCTCCTGAAATGCTGCTGACATATAACGTCAGTGTTGACTATATGTATATATGTCTACATTTAAGAATTGCAAGTGCAAAATGATAGAAACCAAACCATGACATAATTGAAATAGACATATTATGACAAAATATATAGGAATTAGGATGTCATTCAAGAAAAGAAAAATGAAACAAAAAGACAGTAGAAATATTGATAAGATTAAATAACTATCAATTTAAAAGGATACAAATGAAAACTATTATGACATGGGTAGTCAGGAATTCCATTAAAATAATCTTGAAACTGTAAAAATTGTGTTAAAATGTAAAAGAGTTTTCAAAATCCTGATGGTCCATCATGCTTACAAATACAGATAAGGCCATAAATACGTGTTTCTATATAAAGGCAACATGAGAAACACTGTTCCTTCCACGCTGACTCTGAATCAAGACCTGCCTTCGCTTTTCATTTTCTATTCTGTCTCTAATTCTTCTAGAACATTTATTCATCCTTCACAATTTTCTGAATATTTTTGCCAAACTCTATTTTTACAAAGAACCCATTCACACATTGCCTTCTCATCAGATGAATAGTTACAAAAAGCAACAGTAGGAATCTTCTGCAACTTTCTTGCCATGATATTTTTCTTTCCTTGGCCTTTAGCTTTGGAAAGGACCCAAATGAAAGACAAACAACTATAAATTGCTGTTTCAAATACAAAAATATTTTAAAGAGAAATTCACAGCGCGGTGCTGCCTTTCTACACAGTATTCACTTTAAAGACTACTTGATAAATTTCACAAATTTTTAAATTTTTATACAAAATCTTCAGAAAAGTCACCTGTAAATCAGTTTGATTACGGTTCAGTCATTTCTTTCAAGCATCTGCATAAATAAGCCAAACAAAAAAACATAAAATAAGCAATATCTAGAAACCAAATGAATATCATATTATTTTAAAAGAACAGAATAACATTGCTAGGGGAAAGAAGTCCTTGTATTCATATTTTAACTTATTAGCTGATTTCTAAGACTATCAAATATATGAAGTAGTTTGTGTAAGAAAACCTCTGTGGAAGGAGCATGATTTGTTTCCAGCATACAAATTTAAAAAGAATAAGTACTATGTGATGTATAGAACTGTTGAAGGATAGATAAGGAAACTCAGCTGGACATTAATTGATATAAACATCAAAGGGAAAGAATATTTTTCATGGGATATAAAAGGTTTTGTTCTCATTTAAGATTGATTTGCTGCTGGCATTTTACATGTGTCAGTGATTAAGTTTATCCCCTGGTTATATACTAGATTGTTATACAAACATAAATGAATTAAAAATGATGTGCTGCCATCCACCATTACAAAGGACATCACAATAAAGAAATTTAATTTCATTAAGACTTTAAAACTTTTTATTTAAAACTATTTTTTAAAAACACACAGAAAACGCCAGAGACTACCATGACAAATGAAATTAGAAGTCCCAACATGATTTTAGCACTCTTTCACCCAATATTACTTTTTTAAAAAAATTTTATTTTATTTTATTTTATTTTCAGTGATCCAAAATTCATTGTTTATACACCATACCCAGGGCTCCATGCAATACATGCCCTCCTTAATACCCACTACCAGGGTCACCTAACCCCCTCCCCGCTCCCCTCCAAAACCCTCAGTTTGTTTCTCAGAGTCCACAGTCTCTCATGGTTTTTCTCCCCCTCCGATTTCCCTCAACTCACTTCTCCTCTCCATCTCCCCGTGTCCTCTGTGTTATTCCTTATGCTCCACAAATAAGCGAAACCATATGATAATTGACTCTCTCTCTCCTTGACTTATTTCACTCAGCATAATCTCTTCCAGTCCCATCCATGGTGATACAGAAGTTGGGTATTCATCCTTTGTGATGGAGGCATAATACTCCACTGTATATATGGACCACATCTTCTTTATCCATTCGTCTGTTGAAGGGCATCTTGATTCTTCCCACAGTTGGATGACTGTGGCCATTGCTGCTATGAACATTGGGATACAGATGGCCCTTCTTTTTACTACATCTGTATCTTTGGGGTAAATACCCAGTAGAGCAATCACAGGGTTATAGGGTAGCTCTATTTTTAATTTCTTAAGGAATTTCCACACTGTTTTCCAAAGTGGCTACACCAACTTGCATTCCCACCAACAGTGTAAGAGGTTCCCCTTTCTCCACATCCTCTCCAACACTTGTTTGCTGTCTTGTTGATTTTGGCCATTCTAACTGGTGTAAGGTGTTATCTCAGTGTGGTTTTGATTTGAATCTCCCTGACAGCTAATGATGATGAACATTTTTTTCATGTGCCTGTTACCCATTTGCATGTCTTCTTTGGAGAAGTGTCTATTCATGTCTTCTGCCCATTTTTTGGTGTAATTATCTGTTTTGTGTGTGTTGAGTTTGAGGAGTTTTTATAGATCTTGGGTATCAGCCCTTTGTCTCTAGTGTCACTTGCGAATATCTTCTTCCATTCCATAGGTTGCTTCTTTGTTTTGTTGACTGTTTCCTTTGCTGTGCAGAAGCTTTTGATCTTGATGAAGCCCCAAAAGCCCATTTTCACTTTTGTTTCCTTTGCCTTTGGGGACATGTCTTGAAAGAAGTTGCTGTGGCCAATGTCGAAGAGGTTACTGCCTATGTTCTCCTCTAGGATTTTGATAGATTCCTTCCCCACTTTAAGGTCTTTTATCCATTTCGAGTTTATCTTTGTGTATGGTGTAAGAGAATGGTCGAGTTTCATTCTTCTACATATAGCTGTCCAGTTTTCCCAGCACCATTTATTGAAGAGACTGTCTTTTTTCCACTGGATATATTTTCCTGTTGTCAAAGATTATTTGACCATAGAGTTGAGGGTCCATATCTGGGCTCTCTACTCTGTTCCACTGGTCTATGTGTCTGTTTTTTGTGCCAGTACCATGCTGTCTTGGTG